TCGCACAGGCGGCCCAGGGCCTGGATTTTCTTCAACCAACTGGCGCTGCGCAACTGCCTGAATTTCCTTGATTGTGCAGTGGCCGAAAAAGGGCCTTGAGAGCCTCATCGAGCCTTTGGGGCGGCCGACGGCCTGTACAGCAGGGCCGAGAAAGGGGTTCCATCGAGGCTCTAGCCTCGCATTCCCTCCATATCTTCGATAGTCCTCTGAGAAGATCAGTCTTTGATGATCTGGCGCTTTCCCTTCTACAGATACTTCTCATACTGGGCTACGACCTGAGGAGCGCTCTGCATGAGTTCCTCCCGAGTAAACCAGCGATCTTCCTTTGGATCTGTGTGATGTCTGAACCGGACTCGGTACTGCAGTTTTGGCTTTGGAGGACGTCCCCTGCCTGTGGGCTTTTGCACTGTCAGCTCCTTGTGATCCACGATGTCGTCGATGTCCACCTCTCCATCCATGGTTGGGGCAGCATTGAGCGTCGCGAGGGAAACTGATCGGTTTCCCCAAATGGTGCAAGCTTAGAAGCGTGAAAGACTGGGTATGTACGGAGGCGACCAGGGATCGGATAACGCAAGATGGACCATCCGGATCTGTCCCAACTATGTCCAAGACTTCGCAGGGTCCAAAGTATTAGGGCATGAGTTTACGGGAGATCCCGTGCTCCTGTCCCAGTTCTGAAGACTTTACCCAGACCCTATCCCCAACCTGAAATGTAGAAGGTCGGCGGCGTCTATTTTCAGACTGTATCATTGCAGCCTGCACCTTCTGCATCTGTTCTACACCCTGCTGCATCCTTTGTTCATAGCGATACGCAAATTCTAAAGTTCCTGGTGCATCAGTGGTTTGATTCTCAAGGAGAAGAAAGTCTAAAGGTAGTCTTGGCCTGAAGGTCAAATGTAAGCTGTTCGGGCTCACCCCTGTAGCGCTATGTACTGCGTTGTTGTAGAGACTGGCGACGAGAGCAAGCTTCTCATCCCAGTCCACCTGGTTCGGCTTGATGTAGTGCCTCAACAGGTGTTGTGCAGCGCGATTCAGTTGCTCGGCTTGATCGTTGGCTTCTGGGTGATTTCCAGATGTCATCTGCAACTGAGTGCCCTGTTCTGCGGCAGCTGCCTTCCACAACTCACTTGTGAATCGAACATCTCGGTCACTAATAATGGACTTTGGTAAACCAAAGTCTCTAACCCAGTTCTCTTTGAATAGCCTAATGACATACTCAGTTTTCGCTGTTTTCGACATAGCTATTAATCTAGCATACTTACTAAACCTATCCACGATGACAAAGATCTGTCTCATTCCACTCTTGCTGGTGACCAGCGTATCCATGAAGTCCATGGACAAGCTTTCACCTGGCCTTTCCGAAATCGGAAGGGGCTTCAGGAGCCCAAGAGGGGCCTGTGTACGCGGCTTGTCCCTTTGACAAACTTGACAAGTCTCCACATACAGTTTGGCGTCTTTCATCATCGTGGGCCACCAGAATCGCTGCAACAGATTTGCCGCAGTCTTCTTAAACCCAAAATGGTCGGTGGCATCATGACACTCACCTAAAAATAAACTACGCAAAGACTCTCCATTAGGGACACATAATCGTTTATTCCCTGCCTTTTCGAGATACAGCAAGCCGTCAATCAACTCAAACTCGACAGAAGTCTGTTTGTCCTTCGCCTCGAGTCTGCGTATGATCTCAGACATGAATTGGTCCTCTTGATAGGCCTCCACCAAGGATCGAGTAACATCATCCGTGAGATCGAACTCAGTAAGTAGCGCGTCCGAGAAGTTAGGTCTATGCGACAAGGCATCAGCAACCTTGTTGTGCTCGCCCGTGATGTATTGAGGTTCGAAGTCATACTGCTCTATGACTTCGATCCAACACTTGAGGGCGTCAAAGAGCACAGGTTGAGTTCTCATCCATCTCAAAGTTTGATGATCAGTTCTGAGGATGAAAAACCTCCCAAGAAGGTAGTGCCTCTAGTGGGTCAGAGCCTTATAGACCGCATAAAGTTCCTTCTCATAAGTGGACTTTGCCAACTTCTGAGACGGCATTTTCTTGGACATGTACTCGACTGACCTCAACTTCTTCCCCTCCTGTTGCGCTAGCACGGCCCCAATGCCAGACTGGCAGGCATCCGTGGTGACTATGAAAGGCATATCAGGATCAGGAAGCTTCAGGACTTCGTAATGTGTCAGCGCATGCTTCATATGTCTGAAAGCAGCCTCGCATCTCTCAGTCCACTCCCATGGGGTGTCAAGGCGGGTTAGATCAGTCAAAGGGGCGGCAACTATGCTATAGTTCTGCACGAAGTTGCGATAATAGCCGGTCATCCCTAAGAATGATCTCATCTCAGTCACAGACTGAGGACGTGGCTAATCACGAATGCTGGCCACCTTCGCGTCATCGGGCTTCAACCCTTCCGCGGAAATGTCATGACCCAAGTACAAGACACGGGTGCGGCCAAACTCGCACTTCTCACCGTTGATCTTGAACTTGTGCTGTCGCAGGAGATGAAGGACTTTGTCCAAGTGTGCAACGTGCTCCTCGACAGACTTACTAAAAATAAGTATGTCATCAAGGTACACGATGACAAACTTATCGAAGTAGTCATGGAAAATCCGATTCATAGCGTGCTGAAAGATGCCAGGAGCATTACAAAGGCTGAAAGGCATCACCACAAACTCGTACAGACCGTACCTGGTCTGAAAAGCGGTTTTGTGTTGATCCTCGGGCCGGATTGCAATCTGATGGTACCCGGACTTCAGATCTATCTTACTCAAGTACCGACACCCTTGCACTCTATCTAGCAAATCGTCGATGCGCGGCAGGGGCTCTCTATTCTTAACAGTGATGGCATTGAGGCCCCTATAGTCAATGCACATGTACCCTCCTTCTTCTTAGGTACGAATAGTACTGGAGATCCATAAGGAGAGACACTCGGCCGGATCCAACCCTTCTCTATGAGTTCCTTGAGCTGTTGGCGAAGCTCATCGAGCTCGCCTGGAGACATCCGATAGATCCTACCCTTCGGGATGCTAGACCCTGGGATAATCTCTATCGCGTGGACGACCTCCCTCTCTACAACCCCTGTCGGCTCTTCAAATAGATCAGGGTATTTGGCAACTACTCCCTCTATCTCCGACGGCATTTTCACCGGCTTGCCTGCAACAGAGACATAAACTAGATACATACCCTCCTCCTGATTTTGCTTATAATAATTATAGGACGCGGCCGCACACATGCATCCATGGGACTCAATCAGACTACTAGCTTTGAACTTACGTAATTTGGCGGTCCCTCCACCTGGCAAAGTGTGTTTGACCACTTTTCGGTCCCAGTCAAACTGGGGCTGTGCAATCGAGAGGTAGTACATCCCTAACAAGATATCCATGGGGAGATCGTCGCTCACCAGGAATGAGACACGATGCCTCAATTCCCCTCCCGCCTACGGGGACAGGCACTCAACGTCTTGAAGGTAGTCATTAACTACCATGCGCTGTTTGTTGGCACAGGTCGACTCCACAGATCGACTCAGGCGCTGCACTCGCCCCTGTAAGCGCAGCCTCTCAACGCACGCGCGACTAATGAAGTTCCTAGTCGAGCAAGTGTCATAATAGGCCCCGGCCTTGCGACCGCCAATGACAACCTCACTGACGAACATCTCACCCTTCCGGGCTTTGACTAGTGCCGTCCAAGAAGCTAACGGGTCTGGTCTAGACCACTCCTCCTCTAGCTCCTCTAAGGATTCAAACACATTCATCGAACAGAGGGTCGATGGGTCTGAATGTGTTTGCGGGACGACAGGGGAGTCAGTACCTTGGGCCATGTCGCGAGATGGTGAGGGTGTCTCCACCACCTCGACACTAGTAGGAACAACTACTATTCCTATTGGCCTGACGTGTTTCCCGGAGCAGTGCCTGACAAACTGGCAACATTGCTTCCTACGGGAGTAGAGGATCCAACCGCCTGCCGCATAGTAGGCGGGATCTTCTCGGTGACCTTCTTGTTCCTACATTTGAACATGTTATGGCCATACTGGCCACAACGAATGCAGGCCTGACGGTTCCACTGGTCTCTCCACACGTCCTCCGAAAGACCCGCTTTCTCCCATGGTGGAGCATTGGGGTCAACTTGACTCCTAGATCGGGAGCCCCCTCGGCGTCTACCGGTCCCCTTACCTTTTTGTTGGGTTACAGCGGCGACTACTCCACCCTCTGAAGTTTCGCCACCTGCCTCTGCACCTACTCCTGACTGGGGGTCGTCGTCTAACTCTATGGTTGAACCATCGTTGTCAACGAACATGATGCGACCCTTGGCTTTCAAGTTAGGAGGCAGGGTCTTCTTTCTCCCATCCGTCGCTGGGTTATGTCCATGCCCTATCTTAGCTTCAAGGTCTAGGGCCTTCTTGCTGAACGAGGGAAAGTTGTGCACGTTGATGTTAGCCTCCACTGCCAACTGATTCCTGATTGGCATCGACAGACACCTCAGGTAAGTTGTCAGTAAGACTTGGGGGTCATAGCGAACCTCAGGGACACAGATCAGACGCTCTACTGCGTCTGTGGCCTCCCTAACTGACTTGACCGATCGAGCGCTCAGAGTCAGGATTGCGTCAGTGGCCTTTTGAGCCTCCTAAGGATCAAGCCACCTCTCCTCCACTAACTTGAGAAAATCACCCAGCTTTTGGCTGGCTGCCCAAGCGCGGAAGTCATGACCATATCCCTGCAACTGCACCAGACCGCTCAACCATCTTGCTGCACTAGCCTCCAGGTAGGAGGCAGCCACAAGCACTTCCTCATGCGGCAAGGTAAGCTTACACCTGACATAGACCGACACAGACCTTAACCATGTGTTAAGGTCTTCGCCCCGCTTGTCCCCTGTAAAAGGCTTAGGCGCGGCTATGGCGGTCTTTGGAACCCATTGTGGTTGTCCCTGCAGCTGTCCAGGCTGTGGACTGTGGTACCTGTTGCTGCCGGGGATGAGACCCCTGCGGCTACACAAGCTGTGAGACAACTGGTTGCCCACTAATGGCAACCTGCGATGGAGTCTGGGTGACCACTGACTGTACTGGAACCTGTACACTAGGACCTGCTGATAACCCTCCTGAAAGCGGCATGCCCAGGGAAACGATTGCGACCGTCGACGGGGCTACGTATGGGGATACCCCAGTCACCGGTGGGACAGAAAGAGGAGGATATGCCATGGGCCAGGCACCAAGCCCTGGCGGGGATGGTGCTGCCTGCACACGCCCTACCAAGATGGCAAGGCTCTGCTGGATGTCCTGAAGGATGGCAGTCTACGGATCCTGCGTCTCTATGATTCCTACCAGGGCCCTTCTAACTACCTTCACATCGTCATCCATGTGTGTCAGGTCCATCGTCTCTAACTCCTCTATGTCCGCTTCTCTTCGCTACATCCTGGCTTTTCTTCTAATCATTCTCTCTTTTTCCGCCTTTATCTCCCCTAAAGCCTTCTGTAGTTGTGCCTCTTGCAGGGCTGCCTGCTGGATGGCGACATCCTCTGGGGTCAACACTAAAGCCTGGCTTGCCATCATGCCAGTGGATTGACTCACGGTCTGCGCGACCGTTGACCCGATGATACCTGAACTGCTGGCCTGGGAAATCTGCTGCGCAGAAGTGGCCATAGCGGAAGTGGCCATGGCTGCTGTAGCAGTGGCCTCGCTAGCGAAAGCCCTACTGGCCTCGGCTGCTCTAGCTCTCCTCTGCTGCTGCTCTCTCCCCCTAAGCTGGTGGAACAAAATCCTATCACCCTCCGGTCCTAAGGACACGTGGGCTATCAGGCGTCTTGCCGATCGCAAGATCCGGTCGTCCGGTTGTGTAACCTCCCTGTCGCTCATGTGCTGCAACACCGTGCACCGCGTACACTAGGGCACTCTAGATGCCTACCGCACCATAGCGCACATACCAATTAATAAATAATTGGTTGCTGTTTCGGAGTAGATACATTTGGGTACAACAGGTAAGCACAGATTCCTACAAACGACACTGTTTTTAGTTTGACTAGTCCGCAAACAAATGCACTATGAACAAGAAACTGTTCTAACTAATGTTGTCTGTCAGATGTCAATGGCAGTCCATCTAACTAGTCAAAATAAAAATAATATCATTTGACTGGGTCTGTTCACAGCATGGGATCTAACACGAACTGATCACCTGGAATCTACCCTGTCCCCCAATCCCCACTTGATTGTCACTTGACGTCAGCGTTCCTGAGCAATCCGGTAGCATGCGTGACTAAAGGTGTGCACACGGCCCACCCCTGTGCTCCGAGTAGTTGTTGAGCTGGCCAACCTTGCATGTATATTTACCCTCGGCGTGCCGCGAGCCTTACATCACTGGCTGATCAAGAGGCATTTTAACGTCCGCCCCCAAGTGACATCAGGAAGTATTTTACGTCGCAGCAGGACGACGATCACAACCAGTGATATCCCCTACCCGTGTTTATTTATAGACGTCGGGTTCTCGTCTTTCCCGTAGGGCTGGCCTGCCCAACAATACCCATCTATGAGCGCAGCAAGCAGACAAGGACAAAGCAGCAAAGCATGCGTGCTCTACTCCCGGTGGGTTGGCATGGTGACCGTGACCCAKTGCTTCGTCCAGGGCCCTTCAGAAAGCAACGCCCTCTCCTTCCAGATTCTCCACAGGAAGTATGCCGACTCTCAAGGTTGAGCGCACACGACACCTCACATGAGAGGACTCTCAAGATGGGACACACAACCTCACGGTAAGAAGTGTCGAAGAGGGTAGATAAGGTTAAGAGCAACGCACCTCAATAAAGCTGCCCCCAACCACAGATATTCTCACCAAATGACCTGATGGAGATTGTAATGACCAGTCACTGCATCGACACAACCAGCATTATCTCGCCGTTCCACCTCAGGATCAATCAACCACCAGATAGTTCTCATCACACTGTAAACACCCAATATACACACCACGTAGCCTTCCAGGCAATACCCCTCACCTCCTGGGTCGCCAACCACTTGTCTCCGCCCTCCTCACTACACACCACTTACGGCCAAACTCGCCAAGTAGACCGCATGTATGTACCGTACCAGGCAGAAGACAAGCGCCAGATGAGCGCAATCGAACCACAGCTCCGATACCAAATTCCAAGGAAGATGAGCAATAGCGAACTTCAGCAATCAAACAGCATCATACATATGAGTCCAGATAGTCTTGACCTCAAACCAACAGCAGAATTGCATCACGAGATTCACCAAATAAGAACACACCAAGAGTTCATAATTGACAATGCTGAATAAGTCCCATCATCATCATCAACGAA